CTGCGGGCCGCTTCGCGCGCCGGTCACGCCCCTGCCGGCCGCCGGTTCAGGACTGGCCCTTCCTGGCGTTGGGGAAGAAGAGCTGCTGGCCGTTCAGGCGGTACTCGGCGATCAGCGCCTGGCCCGTTTCGCCGGTCAGCCAGTCGATGAAGCTCTGGCCCAGCTCGGTCTTGACGTGCGGGTGCTTGTCCGGGTTCACCAGGATCACGCCGTACTGGTTGAAGAGCTGCGGGTCGCCCTCGACGAGGACCTCGTGGCCGCCCTTGTTCTCGAAGGCGATCCAGGTGGCCCGGTCGGTCAGCACGTAGGCGTCCATGCCGATGCCGGTGTTGAGCGTGGCGCCCATGCCGGAGCCGGTCTCGCGGTACCAGCCGCCGCTGGCCGACTGGATGTCGACGCCGGCCGCTTTCCAGAGGTTGCGCTCCTTGGTGTGGGTGCCGCTGTCGTCGCCGCGGCTGGCGAAGGTCGCCTCGGCCTCGGCGATCCTGGTCAGCGCCGCCTGGGCATCCGACAGGCCGGCGACGCCGGCGGGGTCGCTTTGCGGCCCGACGATCACGAAGTCGTTGTACATCACGTCGAAGCGCTCGACGCCGTAGCCCTCGGCCACGAACTGCTCCTCGCGGCCCTTGGCGTGCACCAGCAGCACGTCGGCGTCACCGTCGCGCGCCTGCTGCAGGGCCTTGCCGGTGCCGACGGCGACCACGCGCACCTCGATGCCGCTCTCCGCCTGGAACTTCGGCAGCAGGAAGTCGAGCAGGCCGGAGTTCTTGGTCGAGGTGGTCGAGGCGACGGTGATGAAGCGCTCCGCCGCCTGGAGCTGCCCGGCCGACAGCGGTGCGGCCAGCAGCAGGGCGGCCACGAAGGCCAGAAGGGTCTTTTTCATCGCTGGGTCTCCTCCCTTGGTCTGGACGGTCGTCACCAGACGAGCTTGCCGGCCAGGTAGTCCCGCGCCGCCTGGCTCGCCGGTTGTGCGAAGAAGCGGGCCGCCGGCGCCTGTTCCAGCGCGCGGCCGCGGTTGAGGAAGATCACCTCGTCGGCCAGGCGCCGAGCCTGGCCCAGGTCGTGGGTGGTCATGACGATCTTGCAGCCCTCGGCGTGCATGGCGCGCACGATCTCCTCGATCGCCGCCGTCGCCGCCGGGTCCAGGCTGGCCGTCGCCTCGTCCAGGAACAGCACCTGCGGGCGCAGGGCCCAGGCCCGGGCCATGGCCAGCCGCTGCTGTTCGCCGCCCGACAGGGTGCGCGCCGCTTGGCGCGCATAGGCGGTCAGCCCGGTGCGCTCCAGCGCCTCCGCGCGCCGCCGCCGGCGTTCGGCCCCGTTCACCTTGTGCACCGCCAGGGCGTAGTCGAGGTTGGCGGCGACCGAGCGGCGCAGCAGCACCGGTTTCTGGAACACCATGGCCTGGCGGCGCGGCCCGCGTCCCGCCCCGTCGAGCTTGCGGTTCTGCCAGAGCACGCGCCCGCCGGTCGGCCGGATCAGGCCGTGGGCCAGGCGCAGGGTCAGCGACTTGCCGGCGCCGTTGGGCCCGAGGATGACGCTGAGCGGCCCGGCCTCGAGGGTCAGGTCCAGCCCGTCGATCAGACGCTTGCCGCCGACTTCGTAGACCACCTGCTCGAAGCGACCGGGCAGGATGCTGTCCTCGAAGCGGCCGCCGGCCGTGCGCGGGCGTGCCGCCGGCGGGGCGGTCGCCGCCTGGGGCGACTGCGCGAGCGGCCCGGCGCGCGCGCTCATGCCAGATGCGCGCGCGCATAGCGGCGCACGCCCTCGGCGGCGGCGTTGATCACGAGGGTGAGCAGCAGCAGCACCAGGCCCAGGCCGAGGGCCAGCGGCAGGTCGCCCTTGCTGGTCTCCAGCGCGATGGTCGTCGTCATCACCCGGGTGACGTGGTCGATGTTGCCGCCGACGATCATCAC